GAACGGCTCCTAACTACAAGATACCATTCGCAAACAAAATCCCAAAGCTACGTACCGAATGTCAAAGCTCCCGATTACAACGCGATGGGATGGCATTTGCGTTGCTTTGCGGCTCCACCTGGCTTCAGAACACCATTGAAAGTACGGCACTCAAGTGAATACGCACATGCGTCCAAGCTTTGCTGCGACCGGGCCTGTATGTTGGAACCATCCACAGGAAACACTTCAAAAGCAACCTGTACAGCTGTGGCACGCCTGCAAGGCGGAGCCAGTGCAAATTGCAACAGCTCTGAGAACATTGCACTACTAAAACACTAATGAATGAAAGCCTACAGGTCTCCACCCATCTCATATGACCGACACATATGTCGTGAAGCGCTCGTTATCTGGACAGCCTGGGATTCGCTGCCTCGGCGTTGCCTGCCAACTTCACTTCCACTTGGCATCTCTCACTAGGTCTCACGATACAAGTCACACAACAGTCCTGCGCTTGCTCTGCCAGCTTGAAGTGCAACACAAGAGAACGCTAAAAGCGTTCTACACACCATTGGTTGGCGAGCCTCAGACAATTGCACGACAAAGGATGAACAACTGGCACGCAACAGGGCTTCCTGTGCTGTTTGCCAACAGCATGGCAATGTCGGAAAAGAATGTTGACCGAGGTCAATGCTCTGTGGCGTATTCTCTTTGGCGAAATCCTATAAACACTGGTTTTCAAAATGTGCTGTTGAAGTACAGCAACGCTTCAGCGGCAAGTTGTCCTGCGTGTTGATCTGCTTCTCACGAAGCACAGCAGCTTCAGGGGCCTTATACAACTTGCTTGGCACATGTATGTCTGATCTTCAAAATGGAGCCACTTTCCACTCTAAGACTGTAAGGGTCAAGCACGGCAACGAGGGCATGCCAAATGCCTCTTTGGGGCTCTCTGTTCGCCTGGCTTGCGGCCATGGCCTCAGGACAAAGCCAAGCAAGGAACTCATGCTCCGTATGGGGGATGCACAAACTCGCCGAGACCTGGACGGTGCTATTTTAGTGTTTTCTCGAGGGCATGGGCTTCATGTGGCTGAAACCACCCTCGTTAATGCTTGTTTTTTGTTTTGAATCACCACGTCAGCAACGTGTTCCTCTAGATAGAAGAGCTGGACCGGCCGTGTATGCCCGACAGGCACCACATTCACATGTTGAAGGAAGGGCATACCAGCTTTTGTGTTTCCTGGACACATGCACGTGTGCACCAGTGATCTCGTCAAAACATGTTGATGCCTCTGAGTACAACAGCTGCCACACTTTCAAAATGCAATGACCTGCAGGGACCATTGTCCTGAACTAGAAAACTCTATCATGCAACTTCTTGTTGTTGCAGGTACAGCAAGGTATCTGCCACGAATGTTCTGTATAAAGGCACACCGCTACCGTCATGCTACGAGAAAATCGATGGCCATCAAGATCGCCTTGCACATCAAGCAGATCAAGCAGACTTTTGAAGCCCCCTGATTTCCCAGCTCCACAAATTTGACAAAGGTGCAGAAGAGAGCTTGCTATATCCTGCATTGTAAACATACAGCCCGGAGCTCTACACAAGCATGCGGATTTTTATCAAATACATCGGCGCAAACCCATATTTGTTAACCTCTTAGTTTTTGTCTTACCAATAGAACCAACTAGTAGATCATAAATGTTATTCACTTGCGACCACTAAATTCACTCACTTGTGACTACTTCATTTTCTCACCTACGACAACGAAATTCAGTTCCCTGCAACTTTTGGCCGTACCTGCCTCCCGCTCGACAGGGCTGCGAACGCAGCTGCGATTGGAGCAAAACAAACTCACCTGCGACATTTTTAAAGGCACAGGTGAACGTAGAATTTTTTGGGGGGATTGGGGCTTTCAGCTTTGGGGTTTTTCAAGGTTTATGGCTTGGGGTTTCGGTTTCGGGCTTTCAGTTTTGGGGCTTTAAAGTTTAAGGCTTTGTGGCGGTTAAGCGCTTTAGGCTTTGGGGTTCATGGTCCCTTAATATGGGTGGGCCCTAAATTGGGAACCCTAACTGAAGCCAAGGGCCCATGCTTCAGAACCCTTTTTAACAAGGCAAGGGACCGTTTCCACTGCTTAGGCTGCAAGAGGAAGAACAACTCATCATAAACAATGTCGAAAATCAAGAGTGGCTGAAACGAATCTAGAAACATGAAAGCAAACACGCTTCGTTCCGACGCCTAAGTTCTGCATGCTGTTCTCCTGCTAATTTTGCTTGCACTGCAACGCGAAAGAAAAACTCATCATAAAAATCATGCAAAATCAGATATCGGTGAGACGAATCCATGTCCGATGCACCGGGAAACTGCCACACGTTCATTTTTGTTTGCTTGTTGCGAAGCGGGCGACATGGTCGGGGCACGGCGAAACATGGGCATCACTTGAAAAAAAATAAATATATACATATATAGGAGCATGAAACCTATCAAAAGGACACAACTGCTACGAAAGCTCCACATTGCTTTCCCTAACCTTTTTGCTTACAGCAAGACTAAAATTAATTCCTCAGAAGGAATATCGAAACTCAAAAACCGTCGAAACAAATCCGTGTCTAGTGATGCACAGCAATGAAGTGTCCCGCGTTCACTTTTGTTTCTTGTTGCGAAGCGAACGACACGGTCGTGGGAAGAGGTCACTTGCAACCGCGAAACGTGGGCATCTAAAAAATCAGGAGCAACGATCCGCTCAGCGAAGCAACAGCAGCTTAATCTAATTGAGCGCATCCATAATTTGATCTGACTTCCTCAAGATTGTAAGAAAACCTGAACAAACGACTTTGGGCAAAACATGGCACTGCAATGTCACCCTTGTCTTCAACATGAAATCTCGCGATCGTTTCCTCAATCTTCCCGCGCGAGGGCAAAAAAGCCGACTCCAAGGCCGCTCTTTCATACCATGAAGTAAACTCAAGCGCCGCCTCAGTTGATCAGAGAAAAAAATAAGTTTAAACAAGCAGACCTAACCAAATCTGCAAGGATCGTTCTCAACAAAAGCAACGATTCTTCAACACGCAAGCACGGTATTCAATCCATACGGTGGCCAGCGCACAAGCCCCGACTTCGCATATGACATATGATTTGGTCCTCAACATTGCTGAACCAACCAAAAGGCTCCATTCTTACCGGGTACCTTCCCATGGAAGATCCATCTGCTTCCAGTAGGGGATCGAATACGACTGGGCCCCATGTTGCTGATCCCCACCCCATACGTCCCAGCAGTGTTGATGATGAGCGGAGGGGGTGAAACTTGTATTGCAAATGCGTCCTCTCGACCTGTCAATTTTGCAATAGCCTGATAGCCAACTGAGCTGCATACACCAGTGATTCAGAACAGCAATCAAAAACAAATCTGACCCTCACGCCAACATGAGCTGACGGTTTCAAGTCAGTACCCAGTACATCATTTTCTGCAACATTCAAAAGACCATGCCAACAACAAGAGCTGCGAGCGTCTTGATTTTCGACCATTTGCCATTGGATTCAAGATGTCGCGACTCTTCTTCCCTCTGCCTCCCTCTGCCAGGCTCGCAAGGTTAGCCATTCCAGACGTCGTACAAACCGATCTCCATCCCCTGCGAGAAAACTGAAACGTCGAACGTAACAAACTCGAATTTCAACTTGCATCTTTGCTGGACAAAGTGCTGGGAATTCTTGGGTGGGAGGTCATCATAAACACCATCAAGTTTGGAAATGTTCCTAAACTCACTGGACCACGTTCCACGACGTGTTGTGCCATCAGTGAGCGGCCCTAACTTCTTTGCCGTGCAAGAAAACGCATAAAGCAAATGTCTTGCATGTTCAAATATGAACTTCAAGCGAAAGCCTGCCATTAAGAAAGCCTGCACGTGAATATGTTGAACGTCTGGTTTAACTAATCGAAATCCTCCGCTTAAGACAAGCCTTAAGTAATCACGACCGACGGGTTTGGTTCATGTTGTTCTTCTGTCATCTGCATTGTTATTTTTCGGAAAGCGGGGCCACGACTCCTTTAGTTAAGAAATAGTCTTTAAGTTTTCACAATGATTCCCAATCTATTCCAAATTATGTTCAATAAAGAATCTAGATCACATAAACTCTGTACGAGGACGCTCCCTTCTTTTTTCCACGGTCAGGGGTCAATCAAAAGCGAGGCGTTCGAAGAGTGAAGAGTTCTTTCGAAGGTTTTCGGTTGGAGCACCCAGCATGTATGCGTTGAGATGCGCACTGGCTGTTTAGGTGCATGTTACCGATTTGCCCCAACACGCATAACCCCCCCCCCCAAATCGGTAAAGAAAACTCCGAGGGTGGGAGGGCGGGTGAAAAAGTTTAGCATAGCTCAGCACTAGCATTGTCCATGTCTGCGTACATCATGGACTGCCCTGCAATGTGTGCTAGTGCGAAACGAGCCATGCTGAGAGAACGGCGCGGCGTATTATTCTCAACATCAATCTACAAATCACCGGTATATCCCAACTTCAGGGGCCTCAAGATGTAGTCTAGCTGGGAGACTACATTTGGCTGCCTGTTCAGGTGCAACATGGGATTTCAAACACATACAGTCCGGATCACAAGGGTGCCTCCAGTGGTCTGCGAAGCACCTTTAAACGGCATGAACGTGTGCGGAGTTCGAAACTAAGTTTGGAAAGATTTTGGAATCATTGCTCAGCTAAGGCGGCTGCTATGAAAACAGAAAGACAACTTTGTCGCTTCGCGAAGACGCCGTCTTTAAGTTTTCACAATGATTCTTAATCTATTCCAAATTATGTTCAATAAAGAATCTAGATCACATAAACTCTGTACGAGGACGCTCCCTTCTTTTTTTCCACGGTCAGGGGTCAATCAAAAGCGAGGCGTTCGAAGAGTGAAGAGTTCTTTCGAAGGTTTTCGGTTGGAGCACCCAGCATGTATGCGTTGAGATGCGCACTGGCTGTTTAGGTGCATGTTACCGATTTGCCCCAACACGCATAACCCCCTTTAAAAGTGACCGTAACTATTTGAGGAGTTCCCAGGGTATCTGTACAGTAGCCATGCACTTCGCGCACAGACTCTCAATACTAAGTGCAGTCTCACGACCTTTGACCAGGGCTGCTGTCTCCGCAACCAGTCCTCTGCTCGGAGCATCGGCTATGTTACTCTGAGACGGAACGCGCTCCAGCCACGTGACTCCATGATCTTTATTCTCGAGCTCGAAGAAAATTGCAGCCAGCAGCAGCATCGTTCGCGATCTGCTCGCCCCTTTAATCAGTACTTCTCTAGCAGCTTCGTTGTCCACGAAATAGATGGTTCTCCTTCCTGTGAGCAGACGGGAGAAGGATTCTCGGGCTGCGACCACTGCGAACGCCTCTTGTTCAGGGCTGTCCAACCGCCAGAAGCCAACCAGCGAGTCTGGGATCCTCCCTCCAGCGACTAGCCGTGTGCCAGAAAAGGGATCGAGAACCACCACGCCATAAGACGCTACCCCATGTTCATAGGCAGCATCAGTAAAGATCACCACGGGACTCACTGGTCCCCTGCAAGCGAAAATTCTAGGCGCGCAGGCGTCTATGAGATCCACCCCGTAGTCGCAGAGAGAGCGCAAATCAGAAGCCGTCCGCATCCCGGGATCGCGAAGAAAACTTCCCAGGGCTCTTTGCAGCAACTTTAGACCTCTTCCCGAAGCAAACCCGACAGCAAGATTCACCTGCCCTTGCAGCGATTGGATGGAATGAATATCCCATTTCCCACTCAAGCTCATCTGGAGCAACGCGTCCTTCATCCTGTCCAACCTGCTAGGCTTGTTGTGCAAGGAGACCACGCCATCAGCGATGCCGCCAGCGTTCAGCCTAATTCCCAGAAGATCGAAGGTTTCTTCGAAAGGCAGCGATTTCTCAGGTTCAGTTGAGTACTTCCACCCAAGCTTCCGAAGCATGTGCTCAAATGACTCGGAAGAAAGCTTTGCCGAAGCATCCACCTCCAGGAGTGGAAAGTCGTCGTAGAAGCACCCTGAAACCAGGCCCAGAAGATGCCAACTTAAGTGCAAGATCGATCTCGAAAGCCTGTTAAAAGCGAATACCGAAGAAGTAGCCCCAAAGGGGAGGCTCTGCGCCACGAAGTAGCAGTGTTTGCCTGTCGATGGTTCCGTGACCATAACGACACCAAACTTCAGTGAATCGCAAGACAGTGGAACTTGTCGGTAAGCTTTTTCGAGGTCTAGCGTGCGCCCCAGCCATCTAGGCGGCCGAGCCTTCCAATGGGAATGAAGTTCGCCACGAAGCACCTCTCCGCTGCTGAGCTCCACTTCCAAAGGTGAAGAAGGATCAGAAACTCTAGCTATGCACGTGCTGATGGCTGTCATCCAATTGACATCAAAGAGAGCAAGCTTTTCCAGGCAGTGGTAAGCCTCGTTGACCCCCCCCTCCTTGTAGTTGTCGATGGGTCTGGCCTTTGGCCTTTCCGGGGTTCCTTGCTCTATGAGGAACCGCCTCGAGCACACGAACTCGTCGACGTCCAGGTGCTCCTTGACCTCATTCTCGGTGTAGAAGGGGCCTTTCAGAAAGCCGTTGTCCCTGTCTTTGATCGTGCAATCCCAGAGCTTCTGCCTCGCAGCCGCATCGTCCTTGTGCGGGTCGCGTCCCTTGAGTCGCTCCCTTCTCCAGCTGGCAGATTCCAATTGCAGGTTCCCATCCGACGTTGCCGGGACTTCTTTGACGTCGAAGAGCGGAGACTTGTCGGGCTTGCCCACAAGATCCACTCCTTTCATCAGCTCGAAGACGCCCCCGTCCGCGAACGACGTCTCCTCCAAAAGACGTGCCCAGAGCAGCAAATTCTTGTCCTTGACCACTTCGCGAACATGCTCGGGCAGCACTGAGTGTAATCGCGCCTCCTCATATCGAAGTTCCTTTTCCAGCTGGTTCAGCTTCTGGAACATCTGAACCCTTTCCGAAGCGAAAGCCGTCGGCCCCTCCGTCAATCTCCGAAAGATGTTCCTCTTCACCTCATCAGGAACACAGTGCTGGGTGTCGAAGGGATGGTCAAGCTCCAGTGCACATTCGACGAACTCCTGAGGCGTTCTATATACCCCAAACCTCCCGCTACAACCCTCTAAATCGGAGGTAAACTCTTTAAAGGGCCGGTCTAAAGGGGGAGCGCTGCGAAACTCGAGAAACTCAGACAAGAGTTTGCGGGCGCCCTTCTGTTGCGGCCACAAAGGTCGAGGACCTGCCGGGGGATCAAGTCGGGCTGGCAGGCCCGCTGCTGCGGAAAGGAGGGACGCCATTTCGGAGCATAGTCCCGCTGGATACTCGGCCTCCTGAGCAGTAGAGAAACTCCAAGATCCGTTGCAGCGGTAGACAAGGTAGGGCAAATGTTCATGCAGGCCGTCGCAGTCTGCTTCCATGCTCTGAAGCGAAGCATGACTGCACCGAAAGCGAGTGCGTTTCGGTCGCTTGCCGCCTTTCATGCAGTTGCTGAAACACACTTCCCGCATGGAGGACCAGCGCTTGAGCAGGGAGGGGCACTGGGAGGCGCGAACGAAGTGGGCCAGGACCGCCCAAATCCAGGAGTTCTCCGGATTCTCGATGCTTATTTGACAAGAGCTGGGCAGGTGCTGCAACAAGAAAATCACGAAGCGACAGAGCTCATTGGACTTGTCGACGCGGAATTGATCCTTTTCTGAAAGCCCAGGCAGTCCAAGAACGTTCTCACCGTCCCTCAGGGGACGAGGGTCAGGCGCGCCTTGGAGACGAGCTCTCTTGCTGATAGGTCGCTCACGAGCGCGACTGCCAGCGCCGCACGGGAGGGCAATGTGGACTGCGAAGGGAGGCTCCTGGAGAAGCCGGGCCAGAAGCTGCTGCTGACAGGCTTCTTCGGTGAGGTCCAAGACCAGCACGGGATGCTCGGGCCTGCGCGGGTTCCATGGGGAATCAACAGGCAAGACTCGAAAGCCAGCGGCATGACAGAACTTGGAGAGGCGGGCGCAACCTGCAAAAAGCTCAACAAAGAGCGGTCCTGGACGATCAGGGTCGGCCTGAAACATGGGTGTGGCAAGGGACAGGGTCCTGGGGATGGTCTGAGTGGCAGGTGGAAGGGGAAACTCAAGGGCTTCCAAGAAGGATCGGGTTCGGGAGGGCATATCGGCGGCCCCCTTGGCACTGTAACACACAAGCAAGGAGCGATCACCTTTCCACGGCAGGGTGGCGTGTCGCCTGTTGGGCGCAGGCAAAAAGCACAACCCTTGCGAGACTTCAAGGACATAGCCCCACAAGGTTTGACCCCGATGCAAAAAGGAGACACTGCCGGCTGGGTCCTCACACCAGACACCTCCCTCAGAGAAGGCGGTCAAAGGGTACAAGAGGTTTTGGCTTGCAGGGTCATTCGCAGTGTCCTGGTGAAGGTCGGTTTTAAGGTTTGTAAAGACTGCAATCGTAGTGCACGTGAAGTCAGGGCAAAGTCCTCTGACGAAGCGGGAGAAAACTCGAGTGGACAAGGGGTGCTGTTTGCTCGTGTCGCGAACAAGCAAGCCCGGGAGCTTGGAGCAAGCGAAAGCACCCAAACTAACAGAACGGCTACCGGAAATGTCAACTCCCCGGGCGGGGACTTCCGACGGCAAAGCAAGGCTCAAACGCAAAAGGTCATCTGGAGATATGCAAGATCGGCTGAGGAGCGAACTGGCGAGCTGTTCAGCAGCGTAGCGGTTGCCACCGGTCTCATCATCCCGAAAGACGGGATTCACTATGCCGGCGGCCGCAGCGGCCGATCACTGAAACTCCGGACACTCGTAAGCCGGATGAGGTCCCAGGCACTTCCAGCACACATGGCGCCCTCGTCGGCACCTCTTTCCCGCCTTGGCGAAGGCGCAACCCCGTAAGTTGAAGGAGAAACACAAGGGCTTTCCCTCGGCGTCCTGAGAGTGGCAGCCGGAGGGCACGGTCCAGGTCTTTTTCTTGTCCCCTTCGCCAGGAGTCTTGGGCGCCTGCGGATTGGTCGGAGGCTTGAGAGCAAGATCACGGTCCTTGCGCACAGGCTTGTTAGGCGGCTTGTTGGGTTGTTTGGGCTTAAGGGGAAGATCTGGATCCGGGGCAGTCTGCTTAAGCTGCTTAAGCAACGGGATGAGGTAGCACTGCACCTGCGTGTGATCCTTCCACTTGGCGAGCGAAGCCTCAAAAGGGTAGGAGCCATCGGGTCGAATGGACAAAGCTCCTCTGGTGTCCTCAGCGATGCGGGTCCACAGCATTTTGTCGGCCTCACGGAGCTGTTGGAGGGAGACACGTTGCATCCCTGGTGGCTGAGAGCGCATGTGCGTCTGCAAGAGCTGATCATGCCAGCGCTCCAAATGCTCATAGCGGCAAATCCGTCCCAACTCGAAGGCAAGGCTGCGGCGTTGCAGCGCCAACTTGATGGCGTATTCCCCTAACGTGCTGCAGCTGGGGTCACTGGAACGGCGGAGCAACTTCAAGTTCCCAGCAGAATCGAACCCCACAGAATGGTCGACCTTCTCAGTAGTGATCTCAAGAGCCCGACTGGTCAGGCGCTCCCACGGCAGCCAGAGCAGGGATTGATCGGCGACCATTTGTGCAACCAAGTCTTGGAGCTTGTGCGAGGGCTCAACGTCAGCGCTCCAATGGATGCCCACCAGGCGTTTCTGCAACTCACTGATGCGTTGGGTGCGCTCAGCGAGAGGCATGCGAACTGGCTCGGAGGTGTCAGTCCGCTCGACTTTCCCACGCATCTCAGCAAGGGCTTGTGTGGTGCTCTCAAACCAAAGTCTTCTAGCAATGCATAGCACTTGGTCGCTGGGCGCCTGCCCCAAGGTTTAGCATAGCTCAGCACTAGCATTGTCCATGTCTGCGTACATCATGGACTGCCCTGCAATGTGTGCTAGTGCGAAACGAGCCATGCTGAGAGAACGGCGCGGCGTATTATTCTCAACATCAATCTACAAATCACCGGTATATCCCAACTTCAGGGGCCTCAAGATGTAGTCTAGCTGGGAGACTACATTTGGCTGCCTGTTCAGGTGCAACATGGGATTTCAAACACATACAGTCCGGATCACAAGGGTGCCTCCAGTGGTCTGCGAAGCACCTTTAAACGGCATGAACGTGTGCGGAGTTCGAAACTAAGTTTGGAAAGATTTTGGAATCATTGCTCAGCTAAGGCGGCTGCTATGAAAACAGAAAGACAACTTTGTCGCTTCGCGAAGACGCCATAACTTTCATTGTTGCGGCGATGCGTCGCCAGATTCAAACTGCCCATACGTTGTTTCGCTTGTTAAGCTTGTGCTACAAGATACTTTTTTGTGTCCATTTTGACCAAGACTCACACAGATGCTGGGACATCATCTGCCACCGTTAATTCCAAAGTTTCGTGCTCAACGCAAGTGGCAATCAGCAAGCCTCGTTGGTAGGCTTTGAGTGCGGTCTAATCAAGAACATCTTGAAATGCGGCGCGGTCGACTCGAACACAGCACTCCGGATCCACCGGATCCCCGATTAGCGGAGAGCGGCATAGAGCCCGAGCTCCGCGGTATCACTGCTGCTCCTACCACCACCACTACTACTACTACTACTACTACTACTACTACTACTACTACTACTACTACTACTACTACTACTACTACTACTACTACTACTACTACTACTACTACTACTACTACTACGACTACTACGACGACTACGACGACTACGACTACGACTACGACTACGACTACGACTACGCCTACGCCTACGCCTACGACTACGACTACGACTACGACTACGACTTCGACTACGACTACGACTACGACTACGACTACGACTACTACTACGACTACGACTACTACTACTACTACTACTACTACTACTACTACTACTACTACTACTACTACTACTACTACTACTACTACTACTACTACTACTACTACTACTACTACTACTACTACTACTACTACTACTACTACTACTACTACTACTACTACTACTACTACTACTACTACTACTACTACTACTACTACTACTACTACTACTACTACTACTACTACTACTACTACTACTACTACTACTACTACTACTACTACTACTACTACTACTACTACTACTACTACTACTACTACTACTACTACTACTACTACTACTACTACTACTACTGCTACTGCCTACTGCTACTGCTACTACTACTACTACTGCTACTACTACTACTACTACTACTACTACTACTACTACTACTACTACTACTACTACTACTACTACTACTACTGCTGCTACTACTACTACTACTACTTCTTCTTCTTCTACTACTACTACTTCTACGACGATTTTTTTGGTCTCGAGCGAACAAGCCAGGTAGGTTTGACAGGTGGCCCGTTCCTGCCTGTCAGACCAAAGAAGGAGTTTTTGCATCAAAATTACCATGGACTCCCTTTTTTGGTTGCCACGGACATATCAACCAAGAACATCGGTGGACTGAGTCTCAAGACGATCAAAAAGGGATAGAGCATATTTGCGTAGGACCCAATCATCGCTTGCATACCGCCAGTTTGATCCAAGGGAAACACCTTTGCACTTCTTTACGAAAGCACATGACTCGGATCACTCGTTTGAAACTATCAGCTGTGCCAATCACCTTCCTGCCAGAGTTAGGAGGCCCATGCTTATGCAGAAAGGCAAAAGTTTGCACAAGCCGTACGGAAAGGGAAGCAGCCTTAGACGGCAGGCGGCTTCTGTAGCCACACTCGACATCGCATGTCTTTTTTGGTTGCAGCTTCCGCGGCAAGCAACGACCATCGTGGAAGCCTTAGAAACAGCTGACCCGACTTCTGTGCTTCCAACCCTCCGACAGATCCGGCCAACACGACCTGCGAAAATGGGTTTTTGCAGAAGTCTGCATGTTCAGACAGCTGCC